TACTGGGATGTTAGTAGAACATTTGAAGCAAGATGGAACATAACACAATCTAGTTATTTATTAAAGATGTGTGTGAAGTTGGTCAACACAAGCTTCCAAGAAGGATTTACCCTGTCTGGGCCTGGTGCTTTCCCAGGCTTTTTGTTGTGAAATAGATCTCTCAATCTTTTTCTGTGATCATCAGAGGTGGGGACCCTAAAGGGATGGGGTCAGTTGTAGGAGGCTTGGTTGTTGTTCATGTATCTGAGATGGAGGCAACAGTCTCAAACCTACAGTAAAACACATTCAGGTCATCTGTCAGTTGTCAATTTCCTTAAGCATGGAAAGGTGGTTTACTATAACCAGTGATATTTTCCACACATTTGCCGGTTCCTTTGTTGAGAGCCGATTCCTCAGCTTTTCTGAGTAGCTTCTTTTTGCTGCTCTGGTCTCCCTTGTTAATACATCTCTGGCCTGATTGTACAGCATTCTATCTCCTTTCCTGTAGACTTCCTCTCTGCCACAATGTAGCTGCTTGAATTTAGCTGTGAACCAAGGCTTGTTGTTACTGTGTATTCCCAGGTTTCTGGTAGGCACACATGTCTTCACAAAAACTAACATATGATGTTACAGAATCTGTAAATTTATCCAAATCTGCAGAGGTATCTTCAAAAACATTCCAATCTGTGCAATCAATGCATTTTATCAATATTTTTTATGATTGTATCAAGAACTACAAACCATTTCTTTTTAATGTTTTAGTTAAAATTACCAAATCTCAAAGGAAACCAGCTTGCAACCTTTTTTTTAGAATACTATCCATTTGCATATCTACACCATTTTGCAAACACAGCATCTTCTTAATTTGTCTGCAGTCCTGTTGCTATATCTGACCCCCCAAAACAATGACAGTAAGTGTTCTGTTGTGTTCCCAATGCAACTATTTATAAGGATATTAATAATTCACAAATTGTCTTTATTTAGTTTGGATGGACCACATGGCTGAACTTGTTAGTTAACAGCATAGCATCTGTCACTTTCTATTATATTATTGATATTATTGCATGTTATAGGTTGAGAAACTGAATATGTTCACACCTAAGGCTAAGCCCTATTCTTTTAAATTTGTATTCATTTGATGAATAAGAAACACATATGTATAAGCTATAATAGGTGGAATTAAGCAAACTACATTATATTTAATATGATAGCATCCAATTCACATAATTAATGCTAAAATATGAATTTGTGTTTGAAAAATATTTATAAGCCACAGGCTGTTTAAAATATAGCTGCTATAATTGCAAGAGTGCTTAGAAATCATATTTCAACAGTATTAGAAGAGCTTATCAGCACAAGAAGTATTTTAGAGATGAGAAATGATGAGTAAACATCTAGTTATTCTACCGAGATGTACTCAAATTTTTCAAGGGGATTGTAAAATGAAATCAAAAGAAGATTCAATAACTGAGGGATGTTGTTGATGATTTCTTGTGTACAATTAAAATAAAAATTTATAGTAGATAAAAGATATTATGATTTTACACAGGGTAATATTGAATTTGAAATAGAATTATGTACAGCATAATGATGAACATGTTACTGCTAAAATAGATTAACTTTTATTGAAATTTAAGACAGAAAAAGAACAAGGGAAATAATGTATTGTAAAAAAAGCGAAAACCTTTAGCTATAATATACAAATGGACCATTGGGAAAATATGTAGTTGAAAGAATTGAACTTTACATTATGTTCCAGCTTTAAAGGGAATATTTATAAAGTTATGTATCACTGGTGTTTATTGGAAGAAAAACTGTCAAGAATTGTGATGGTGAACCTATGGCACGTGTGCCACAGGTGGCACATGGAGTCATTTGTCAGGGTACGCGAGGCATTGCCCTGTCAGCTCCAGTGTGCATACCTGAAGGCTCTGGGGGGGCAAAAAATGGCCCTATGAACAAACAGGAAGTGACTTCCAGTTTGGCTGTAAGGTCATTTTTTGCCCCCCGGAGCCTTCAGGAGCCTCCTGAAGGTTCCAGAGAACGAAATCGGCCCTATGAACAAATTGGAAGTCTGTTCCTGAACTTCCGGTTTGCCCATAGGGGCAGTTTGTTATGCTCCAGAGGCTTCAGGAAACTCCTAAAGCCTCTGGAGGGCTCGGGGAGCAGGGAGGCTGTTTTCGCCCCCCCCCCCGGCTCCTAGAAAGCCTCTGGAGCCTGGAGAGGGCGAAAAAAGAGTGCCAAAAGCGGGGGAGGGGGGAATGCTGGTTGCATGCATATGCCCGTAAAGGGGGGAAGCATGCACATATGTGGCATGACTGCACACACATCCCCTGCACGCCCCACTTTTGGCATGCGAACCTAAAGTTGCAGTATCACTGGTGTAGAATATATAAAATTACTTTAATCTTTGTTGTAAATATGAACAACATGAAGAGACATATTTATCATATTTAGTAGACATGTAAAAAAAGCTAAAACATTTTGGATAAAAATGCATTAATTGAAATATTCTTAAAACTTAAAATACAACTATAAACCAGAGAATCTTCTTTTGGGACTAACGGGATAAGCAATTAGAAATAATAATGGGACTTTGTTTTTATATATGACAATTGGAGCAAAATTATTATATGCTCTAAAATGGTAAGATTTCACACTACTTACAACAGAGCAATGGTTGGTGAAGTTGCTAAAAGTCATAGGGATAGCTAAATTAACTTCTTCAGTTAGAGAAAAAAACAATGTCTACCATACATTTATGATCAACTGGAAATCTCTTATAGACTTTTAGTATGAAACAGAAAAAATACATTTGTGATCATGAAGATTAGGGCGGGTGAAAAGGTAATAGAAAAGGTGAAAGTTTTTTGCAATTTAAAATAAGGGATAATTTTGTAAATTAACTTCCTTCCCTTCTATTCCTTTACATTTTTGCATGTTTTATAAGAGGCTAATAAAATTTTATTTTAAAGAAGTATTAGAGCAGCTTAACTAGAGGGCTTCTAGACTGAACTCAAAGTACTACCATGGAATATTGTTCTAAATGTTTTTTTTTTCCCTCCATGCTAGTCTTACTATCATTGAAATTGACATCCCAACATTTTTTTTTATTTTCAAACATACAAAATACATACAAACAAAATTTAGACATAAACTACATTTACACAATACATTGGAACTTCAGGTTCTTTCTCATAGCAGTTTCAAATCGGTACAATTCTCCTTATGTTATTTCCCCTTCTAATATATTTCATTTGAGTTTCACCATTTTAACCCTCTTATTTTACTTATGTATCTGATTTATTGGGTGATTACCTCTAATAAGTTTCAACTTCTTGAGTGCATATATACATGGTAATCCTCCTTAACTTCTATTTTTGGGCTTTATTGGCTTCTTTCATTGACCCTTGTTTCTTTCCTCCATCCACCTATACCATTTTTCCCATTTCTGATAATATTCTGTCTCTTCTTTTCCCTGAATTTCTTTTGTTAATTTGTCCATTTCAGCACAGTCCATTTTTAAATTTATCCCCAAATTTTTCCCATTTATCTAATTCAATATTGGAGCCAAAGTTCTATGTCCATCTTACCATTTGTTCCTTCACTATTTCTTCTTCCATTTTATATTTCAGAAGAAATTTATATATTATCCCTATCATCTTTCTTTCTGTACTTTGAATTATTTTGTCTAATTTGTGTGGTTCCATTTGGATGTTGTATAATTTAATATCATTATTGTGTTTAGCTTTGATTTGCAAGTAGGTTAGCCAGTCCACTTTCATGTTTGTTATGCCAATTATTCAATTGTTTTAAAATTTCCTGTCCATCAATTAAGTCTCTGTATCTTATCACTTTATTCATATCTGTAAAGTTTGGGTGCGTCATCCTTTCTGTCGGGATAGCCAATTCGGGATTTTCACATAGTGGGTTTTTATTTTGAGTCAGTTTTGCAATAGCACGTTTTTAATGTTTTTTAAAGTATTTGTGCATTTTGTTTTTACCATCCCATAGGAACATGTGCCAACCTACTTGCAGATCGTGACCTTCTAAGATCAAGATTCTTTTATGTTTTGACTCATGGCACAACAAAACCGCACTCGTCAAAATAGCTGTGATAAAACTGCGTCGCTAAAGCCGCGTCGTCATCACTGCGCGTCATCACCGCCGCGACAACAGTGCGGCGACAGAAGGGCGCTTTAAAACAGTGCGGCAGCAGAAAGCCAATTTAAATTAAGGTAAGGGTTAGGATTAGGTTTAGGGGTTTGCTTTAGGGTTAGGTTTAGGTTTAGGGTTTAGAGGTTTAGAGGTTTAG